AGAAAGAGGAGAAAAAAGGAGAAGAAAAAGAGGAAAAGGAGAGGAAAAAGAGAAAGGAGGGAGAAAAGGAGAAGAAAAGGGAAAAAGAGGAAAAAACCAGGGAGAGGCAAAAAAGAGAGGAAAAGGAGAAAAAGGAGAGGAAAACTGAAAGGGAGGAAAAGGAGGAGAAAAAAGCGTGGGGAAAGGGAAAAAGCCCTGCCGAGGCTGGGAAAGGGTCCTGCCTCCGTGTCCCCTCTCGGTGCCGTCGGGTTCCCCCTCCCCGCGGTGTCGCGATGGCCGAGGAACGGGAAAGGGAACGGGAATGGGAATGGCTCCTGCCCACTCCGGCCCTTCCCTTCCCTGCCAGCCCCCGAAAAAAGGGGAGAAAAGGACAAAACCCCAAAGAAAATCCTATTTTTCTTGCTTCCCTTTGGAAACTCCTCAGGGAAAGTTGATTTTCCTACCCCCCTTTGCTGGCTCCCCCAGGACAGGGCTATGTTTGTGTGTCCGCCCCGGGCTGGGGTCCCTGCCTGTCCCCTGCCTGTGCCTCCCCCTGCTCGGCCACAGACTTTTCCTCCCAAATCACTTTTTAAACCGTCCTGCAAATACAAACGAGTAAAACCAACCGATAACTTCTTCCTTAGCGCTGCTTTTTTTCCCCCCAAAAAAAGTAAGGAGTTAAATTGGGGGGGTCCCATGGGTGCTGCCGGGCCCCCCACTTCCATCGCACTGGATGTGGGGATGAGCCAGCGGCTCCCTCCAGCTGGAACAAAGCACTTTGCAGCGGGAAAAGTATCTGTTTAACCCCAAAGTAAGGATTTTTTGGGTTTGGGGTGGGGTGGTGTCTCTCCTTTGCCCTCCCCCCCCGAGGAAATAGCTGACATTTCCCACAGGATTAGGGGGTTTGGGCTGTGCGTGGCCCCCCCAGTGCCGAGTCTCTGGAGAGAAGTGGTTCCCGGCTTTAGTTGGACTTGTTCGGATTTGGGCGATGCTGGGGCTGGGCTGTGGGATGGTTGGAGCTGGAGGGGGCTGGCGCGGGGCTCCGGGAGGGGAAGGATGGATTTAATCAGCTTCATTTCATCGAAATCAACCAAAAATACTCTTCCCAAAATGGAGAGGGAGACCCGGGAAGCACCAACCCCAGAACCGGCCCTGGGAAGCCTCAGTGCTCCTGTCGCCTGTGTTTTGGGGTGTTGGATCCTCCGATAACAAAGAGGCATTGGGGGAGATTGAGCCATTCCCTTTTCCCCAGCAAAACCCTGGGATGATTCCAACACCCCCTTAAAAATCCCAATTCTGCAGCAAAGGGAAGCGGGAGCCGAAGGGGTTAAGGCAGCGCCTCTCCAGCACATTTTGGAAAGGAAAAACTCTTTGGATCCGGTTTAATTTTCCAGCGATGACTTGGAAAGGGGGAGAGGAGAGGGGGGGAACCGTATCCAGGGTTTTTCCCCCTTCCTGTGGTTTGGAGAAGCCGTTTGAGGGCCGGGACCGGCCCCCCTGGCCCCCAACCCGCCTTCACCTTCCAAACTGGGAATGAAAAGAGGAAAATGGGGGTGATTTTCTCGCTGACGATAGTTTTGCTCCTTCCCAGGAGGGAAAACGGCGTTGGTGGGGCCATTGGCAGGATGGTGGGGACATCGGCAGGACGATGGAGCCAAGGGGACAGGGAACAATCTCCTTGCACCCCTCAGCTCCATGCACCCAAAGGTGCCATTGCATTGGGGGTGCACCCTTGCCATGAGGATTGCTTTGCCCACGGGCTGGTTCTCCTTATCCGGGTGGAGGATCCCACTCCCAAGGCAGGGAGATCCCACCCAAGGCCGCTTTGTTTTCCGGAGGCGAAGCGCGGATCGCCGGGGGACGGGGGGAATGTAAACTCTCCACCCAGGAATGCAGGAGCTGGGAAATGGATTTGCTTTTCAAGGCTTATGTGTTCTGGCTTATGGAAAACAGAACTGGGATTACGGTGGCTGCAGCAGGGTGCTGGGGGTGCTGAGCACTCCATGGGTGCTGCTGGCACCCACCTGGAGGGCTGTGTCTGTGTCACCCCTTCCTGGCCCCATGGGCTCCTGTGATGTTTGGAGCTGGAACTGGAGGAGTTGGGCTGGACCCTGCCCCAGGAGCATCCATGTGGCTCAGCCCAGGGCCTCTCAGAGGTGGTTTTGTGGGGGGTTGGAGGTTTTTGGCTCTTGGGGCTATTTACAGCCCAAGTGGGGAAGGAGCTGGAGGGTGTCTGCAAGACATGTGTCCCCTCTGTCCCCTGGGCTGTCACCCCAGAGGTGGGTCACCCTGGGTCAGGATAACCCCAGGGACAGGTCACCCCAAGGATGGAGCTCCCTGGGGATGGGTCACCCTGGAGACAGGTTACCCCATGTCTGGGTCACCCCAGGGATGGGGCACAGGGGAAGGGGACCTCCTCGCTGCACACCAGCCCTCCCAGGCTGGTGACTCCCATCTTCCTCTTCCTCTCTTAAGTCAAGCAAAGAGGTAGCAAACGCCGGTGGCGGGTCCCACTGTGTCCCCTGCCCAGCCGTGCTGGGGGTCCTTTGATGTCCCCTGATGAGCCCCACTCTGTTTTCACAGCTGCCCAAGGCAGCAGAACTCAATCGAAGTGCAGCCTGGCCCCAGAGCACCCACAACTCATCACACCAGTGCCTGGAGGCTCACAGGGCTTGTCCTGGTGGGGACGGGGACAGGGGGTCTCCAGGAGGAGCAGCCGCGGTCAGCTCAGCTGTGGAGTGATGGAGCTGGGCTCCATCCCAGCAGGGTCACAGCCCCAGGGGTGAAGGCTGTGTAGGGAGCAGGGGTGCTGGAGGGAGGAACTGGTCTCACTGGGGGAAGGATGGGTCATGGGATGTCCCCAGCACTGGCTGTCCCAGTGCTCCTTTCCCCCAGGCTGGGGACACTCCTGTCCCATGGCTGTCCTTTCCCCCAAACCATGGGCTCCCCTGGTCACGAGCTCTCCTATCCCCACATCCACGGGCTCTTCTGTCCCCCTGGGGGCCCTGTCCCATGGGCTGTCCTGTCACCATGGCCCTTAAGCTTCCCTGTCCCCTGGGCTGCCCCATCCTCTGTCTCCTGGGGTCCCCCCTTTGTCCATGGGGACTGTTCCACCAGCTCAGCACCGGGTGACAATGCCCTCGGGGCAGTGGGGTCCCTGTCCCTTCTTGTCCTGTGTCCCCAGCAATGATGTGGAGGAATGGCAGCAGGAGGTGACAAGGAGCAGGGAGATAAATGAGGGACAGCTCATGGTGACACACCGCTCACTGCTATGACCCATTAACGGTGTGATATGCCCCAGTGGGGACATCTCTGCCTGCGCACGGCTGGATGTGCCTCAACCTCCACGAGGACGAAGCCAGCAGGACCCGAGGCCACGGGGACGGGCCCCCATGGGCCGAGCAGCCCCCGAGGTGCTCTC